TAATCATTTAGCAATCTATAGGTGACAATGTCCTGACACCTATTAAGTGTACCTTATCACCCACAATTTTACAGGTGAGAAACTAAGTCTCTGTGAGTTCAAGGAACACACCCAAGGTTAGGAGGTGGAAAACGGCAAGGCCAATTAATAAACCCGTATTTTTTCTACACAGATCATCTATAATAATTGCTATAATAAAGGTCCAGGCCAGTAATTTGTTTAATGTGTAATGCATAGAGTAACTCGTAGGAAATTATAATGTATTTATTTATCTTAACCGTCACTTCCCCCTTCCTCTTCAGAAGCTGGATTTGTATAGGGACTATAAATGTGATCTCTTTTTCAAATGACTAAGAAATATCAAGGGGCTTGTAGTTGTTTCAGAATACAGCTTTGCTTTGATTTGCTTAAAGAAAAGATACAATTCGCATTCCATAAGTCACTCTTTTGAAGTGTACAATTCAGTGGTTTTGGTTAATATTCAGAAGCTTTGGCAACCATCACCACTGCCTTACTCGAGAACATTTTTATACTTTAACTTAAAGGATCTTTTCTCAGAGATACAAAGGAACAACTAGGCACGTGCAATTGACTACTCCAAGAAAGATCTAGACATCTCAATGAAACTGAAGCCAGCATATAATATAGAGCTTTACTGTAGTCTTAAAAAGGGAACTGCATTACAAGTAATAAGATGCCAGGTAGGTACCGCTCTGTGTCAATGGCCAGGTCACAGCAGACACATTTGCATTAGAGGGCAGGTCAAGAGCTGCTCTCCAAAACTGATAAGAGGCAAAGGGTCAAAGGTGAGTAATGAAGATAATTAAAGAGCAGGAAAGCAAGATTCAGGATGAAAGCTTTAAGGAGCCTGCAGTAATTTAGTCTAGGAGAGTTATTTAAGGACAACTTTAAAGTATATGAAAGGATTGCTATACAGGAAATGGTCACTTTTTCTTTTTCTTTCACTAAAGACAGAAAAGTTTTCATTCTATAGTATGAAGGATGAGGTTAGCACAAAAGGAGGTTAGCACAGAGGAAAGTCATGACACAGAAACTTGTTAAACACCAAATGGTGGTGGCAGCAAAAAGTTCTGTGACACTTTCTAAAAAACTGCTCAAAGTTGCTAAGAATAGTATAAAGAATTCCCTAACTCTTCTCCAATATTGACATTTCGTCCCATCTGTTTCATCATTTTCTTATATATATGTTATATATTATACGTACACCCACACACACAGAATCACTTGAGAATAATTTTTAAAAATGATTCCCTTTTGGGCCTCCCCGGTGGCGCAGCGGTTGAGCGCTGGGTTGCGAAGCTGCCTGCGGCCTCTGCGGCGCCGGTTCGATCCCCGGCTGCTCCCCGGCCACCAGAGGAGGGTCCCACATGGTGCGCAGACCTCTCCTGCCGCCCGCTGCTCCCCTCAGCGGTGTACTTCGGTCCTTCTGCCTGCTCTGCTCCCCGCTCTGGCTCGCTTCTGACTGTACCCAGTGCATGTATAAACAAACAAACAAACAAATAAATAAATAAAACATGCCTCTATAAAAAAAAAAGTATAAAAAAAGATTCCCTTTTATCCCTAAATACTTCACTGGGTACTTCCTAAAATAAAGGACATTCTTCTGCTAAACCACAGTAATATTTGAAAATTAGGAAATTAATCCTGATAGAACTATTCTTTAATCCAGACTTTATTCAAATGTTTCCTATTGTTCCAGTAATGTGCTTTATTTTTAAAATTTTTTTTAAAGATTTATTTATTTATTATTTATACAAGCACTGGGTACAGTAAGAAGCGCGGGAAGGTGAGAGAATTCACCAGAGCCAGAGCGGGGAGCAGAGCAGGCAGAAGGACCGAAGTACACTGCTAGGGGAGCAGCGGGCGGCAGGAGAGGTCTGCGCACCATGTGGGACCCTCCTCTGGTGGCCGCGGAGCAGCCAGGGATCTAACTGATGCTGCAGAGGCTGCGGGCAGCTTCGCAACCCAGCGCTCAACTGCTGCGCCACCGGGGAGGCCCTCCACTAATGTGCTTTAAAGCAAAAGGGGAAAAAGTTTTTTGACCCATGGTCCATGTTGCATATAGTTGATATGTCTCTTTACTTCCTCTAATCTGAAACAGTTTTTCAGTCTTTGTCTTTCATGATCATAATATTTTTTAAGGATACAAGCTATTGTTTTGCAGCCTGTCCCTCGATTTGAGTCTCTATTTTTAAAATAAAACAAAATCTCATTTGTTTGAGGAGTTAAAAAAACTCAACACCACACCTAAAGTGAGCCTTTCTCAATATTCCTCTCAGCCATCTTACTATATTATATATTAGATTTATAGATGGTGAGATGACAATAAAAATTTCATATCCATAACTAATCTGCTTGTAGATTTTCTTCTCGGTTCACCTGCATTTTACAAGGGTTCGATTTCTTTAAAACCAGGCTTAAAGAATTACCACCTATTCTTTTTAAACATTTGAGATTTAAATCACCAGTAGACCCCCATTTTCAGAATTCCACCTTTGTAGTGATGAACTATGCCCTAGCTCAAGAGACAAAGAGCTGCAGAAATTGGTGGGTGTTGCTCAAAGTACTCAACAAATATTTTGTTGAGTGCCTAGTACATGTCAAGCTCTGGGAATACATTAAAGAGAAAAACAAAACCCCCGTCCTTGTCACCTAGCTGAACAAATTTAAAATTATAACTGAGAATCCAAGAATCTGACTCCCGAGAAAGCATCTGGCCGTGAAAGGGGCAGATCTCAGATTCGATTCCAATGTGCATAATACTGGGGCATCCTTGCAAAGGCGCCGGTAGTAAAGTTCTCAGTTTATCCAAATGTGCGATTCAAGTGACTAATCTCAGCCAAGAGCCCGAAAGGACGGGCGGGGCTGAACTTCGTGAGCTGCTCCTACTACATTTTCAGCGACAGTCGCCCGCTGAGGCTTGGGGCCTCCCCGCCACAGCCGCGCGCGTTCCAGGCGGCCAAGCTGGGGTCGCGTACGGAGCCCCGCGCCCTACGAGGCCGCACCTCCCCCGGCCGGCAGGGACGAGCACCTGAGAACAGCGCACGGAGAAAAGCCCTGGGGAACCGGCTCCTCCGGGCCGCCTCGCTCGCTGCAATGCAATCTGGGTGGTTTTTCCAGGTTCCTCCCAGCTTCGGTCCGCGCCCAGTCCCTGCCCCCGCGGCGCCTACGGGCCCGGGAGGGTGGCTCCGAGATACGGGGACAAGGGCGGGGCTGCGCCGCCGCGAGCCAAGCCCGCCGAGGGTTGCGGACGCTCTTTTCCAACCCGCCACCCTCCAGTGCCGGCGGGGGAAGCACACGCCACTGAAATTGGAGCTGCGGGCGAGAGCGGTACCGTGCGCACTCGCGAGCCCCGGCCTCGCTCAGGTCCGGCCGCCGCGCGCGCTCTCGGGGGACGCTGGCTGCTACCTGCGCCTCCACCAGCACGCCCTCCTGCCAGGAAACAGGGCGGCACCGCCTCCTGCCCCTCAAACTCCTCTCCTCCCCGCGGGGTCAGCGCTCCCTCGCCAGCCCGGGAGCGCGATCCCCGGCGCAGATTCTGAAAGGTTCTCCTTCTCGTACCTGGAATGGGTCAGCGTGGTGGTCGAGTTCACATCGTGCTTATAAAGGGGCAACACCTGGAGCGAAAGTGGTGGTACTTAAGACGGAACTCTGTTTCCAAGGATAGTTAAAACATAAAACTCGAGGAAACCTCACCTCTAGTTTTTTTCTCGCCAACGTCCTGCAGTTTTCTCTTACTGTATCTGAGATGCGGATGCTAACTAATCTTACTGCGTAGCACTTCAGTGTATGTCCAAATATGTGCACTGATACAAAGGTGCATGTCAATGGTATCTCAATGAAACTGGAAAAAGTGGCAACAGATCTACCTCGATGCTGTCAGACTTGGTGGCTGTGGATGGGGGTGATGGGGGTGCACAAGCGTCTGCAGACCAGGCTGAGCTGGAGCAGGCAGATTGCCCGAGGACCTCGCCAAATCCATATAAACACAAAGGCTTAAGTAGCGGGCGTGGGTTTGGAGCCCGGAACTGCGGGAAAAGGTTGCTGGGGCCAGATTTACGAAAACATTAGGCGAGTAGGGCAGATGCATTTTATTTAGAGTTTGAGGCAAATCAGAGGGAGAGCGGGGTGGGTGGGTGGGGCTCCTGCCCAGCAGGAGGCTCCCGCCTGGAACAAGCAGCCTGGACCGAAAGGGAGGGAGGTCCATTGTGCCTGCCTGTCCGCACGGGGGTCCCCCTGCTGCTCTGCGCGTGGCAGCCGAGTCCTGGGCGGAACTTGGTGGCTGGGCGTCCTGCCCCGCCGGGCGCTGGGCTTTCACTCCCTTCAGGTGGGCAGCGACAGGGCTTTGGAGGAGAGTCTGGGGCAGGGAGGGCCCGCAGGATTATGCCTGCTGTTTGCTCTTAAAGGTGTGTTGGTTCGGGAGCGGCCTTTCCGGTGCCTGGCAATTGTCCCGCCACCTCCCTGCTGCCGTTGGCCGGTCCCTCCCTCCGCGGGTCGCCCTCTCGGGGCGCCGCGCCCTGGGCAGCTGCGCTCCACCGGCCTCACCTCGGGCCTCTTTTCGCCTCCTCACTCCGCACAGTACCTTGCGGGTCAAACCTCCGACTTCACACCCACAGAGCTTCTCCAAGCCCCCTGCGCTTCTAGTTACCTCCAAAGGGATAAACCTCCCTTCCCACTGGCGACTGCGGCCCGCCCCTTCCCGCCTTTACCCCTCACCCTTTTTCCGTCTGGCCTCCGCCACCCTCGGGGTGGCAACCGCCTCTTCCCCGCCCTGCGCGTCTCCCCCTCCCTTTTCTCCTGCCCCTCTCCATTCATCCAGCTATTGTCTCCCGCCCCCTCCTGCGCTGGCCTCGGAGGCCTCCTCCCCCACCGCTGCCACGTCGGGGTTTGAAGGAGCCAATGGGCCGGCGCCGCCAGGTGTCTCTTACCTGCACCACGTGGGGGAGGGGGAAGGGGCGGGCAGGTAGAGCCACATCCCAAAACAGAAAAGCTTTCAGCCATTGCGCGCGCCTCCCGGGGGTGCAGCCCTGTTCCAGGCTTTTTGCATAGACGCACGGGCAATTGAATACAAAAAGGGCAGGCCTCCTGCGGGCTCCTTCCCACCCCCTTCCTGCCCAGGGTGTGGAGCACGGGCCAGGTGTGGGCTTGGGTGGTTGGTTACCGCCTTTTGCACCAGCGGCGGCGAGGGGGGGGGTGGGCCCTCTTTCTTTTTCTCTTGGAAGAGGTTTTAGCACAGGTTTTCTCGTTCACTTCCACCCCACCTCACCGCCTCCCGACCCCCCTTCTCCCCTCCCCACCTATCGTCATGACGGCGTCTCCGGATTACTTGGTGGTGCTTTTTGGGATCACTGCTGGGGCCACCGGGACCAAGCTGGGCTCCGATGAGAAGGAGCTGATCCTGCTGTTATGGAAAGTCGTGGATCTGGCCAACAAGAAGGTATTTCTCCACGTTTCTGTCCAAATGATAGGAGTGGGGCGAGAAGTTTGTTGTCTAAGTGCGGCGAGTGGGGAAACAAGTCCTTTTATTAAAACACTTGCGAGTTGGACCCGAGGCCTAGAGTAATCAGAGTAAAACCAAACTTGTTGGCCAACCGCCTTGGAGCCATTTCGGTCCTCCGAAACCTGGCTCAGGTGCGGAGGCCGCCAGCCGCCCAGCCAGGTACTCTGCCTGTCGGGGGGTGCCCTGCCAAGCCGTGGTGGGATCCCTGGGGAAGGGGTGCCCACGTCCAGGGCCTTTTCGACCTGGGGAGGGTGGGCACCCCGGCAGGGTCTCGCGGACCTCGCCGCCACGGCCGCCCCTGGCTACAGGTGGGCTTGGATCCTGCGGCCAGACCCCTCGAGGGGGGAGGGCAGAGCGTGGAGAAAGGGAATCCCTAATTGAGGGAGGGAGAAACTGACCCCCGCTTCTTCTCTCTCCCCCGGAGGTGGGACAGTTGCACGAAGTACTAGTTAGACCGGATCAGTTGGAACTGACGGAGGATTGTAAAGAAGAAACTAAGATTGACGCCGAAAGCTTGTCCTCGGCGCCTCAGCTGGACCAAGCCCTGCGACAGGTGACAACCTTCGTTAGGCCGCGCCGCCGGGCGTCCCCCCGAGCCCACACAGCCCCGCCAGGCTTGGGCGGAGGCCGCCCCCGATGTCCACGCACGGCCCGCGTGGCCAGAGCCCCGGCCGCGTGGGGGCTCGCCCGGCCTTGAGGACCAAGTGGACCTTTCGGGAGGAAGTCGTGGCTCTACACCTCCCAGCCTCCAGGCCACATTCGCTCTGGGTTTCGGGTGGCTTACTGATTCGTTCCTGGAGCCAGAGTGTCAGCTGGGTTTTACCAAACGAGTGATGTGCGGATTTTGAGTCCTAACCACCCCCCGCACCCCCATCCTGGACCCCGACCCCAGAAGCTCCCGTCCTCCGCGGGGGTTTGGGTCGGCGGCTCGGCCCCGGGGCAGGGGGCGCTGTGGTGTAGACCTGCGGGCCCGCGCCCGCCTGGTGGGAATCTGAAGGTGCCTTCTTGGTTTCAGGCTTCTCAACTCCCACAGGCTCGGTTCCCCTTCCATTATTACTTCTTGGTCCTAGCGCCGGGGAGCGTTTACAGGCCCGAACTTGTAGGTTGCTCGTTGGGTCACCAGGGAACGGGTGGAATCCCCTTATTAGACTTGACCTAAAAACCGGTTGCTCAGTGGTGCTGACGGTACTGGATTGGGGATAGGGTGGGGCGCTAAACACCTGTCCACAGGTGAGTGTCCGCTGCTCTCATGGCCCCTGCCCTAGCACATGAATTGCGAATTATGGGAGAAAGTTACCCTTTCTGGGATGTGTTCCAGGAGACGTGTTTCGAGACTTCCCAGAGATCTGTATTCCATTACTCCACATTTGTTTATCAGAAACCGGCATCTTTCTTAAGCCTGGGACGACCAAACATAATAATAAAAGTAACACCAGGGAATGATGTAATCTGAAGGCAATCAGCTGACGAAATGAGACCTCTGACTTTAAAATCTTGAATGGATGTATTTAAATAAATAAATAAGCAATAAGAGGGATGGACGGAAGATTGATTTACTAAATTCCGCTTGTAAACTCAGCGTTAATTGGAAAGCACCCCACCCCACCGAAAGGAAGCTAGACTCTTTATAGGAAGAGTCTGATTTTTCCCCCCAGCCCCGGTGTTCCCCTTCAATGGCAATTAGCACCTTTTTCTCATAACAAGTGGGGCGACTTTGTAGTTTGTAAATCTTATATCAATTGCATCCCTGTGTGTATCTTGTTCTTTCCAGTTTAATCAGTCAGTGAGCAATGAACTGAATATTGGAGTGGGAACTTCCTTCTGTCTTTGTACTGATGGGCAGCTTCATATCAGGCAAGTCCTGCATCCCGAGGCTTCCAAGAAGGTAAGAGTGTTGACTTCTCAAAAAACTATTCGGCTTTTGAATGACAGGAGCCCTTTTTAAAAAACATGGCTTATCTTAAGTTTCTCTATTTTGAAAGGATGCATAATGGAGAGTTAATGTTTCATGGATACAGAATTGCAATTTGAGGAGATAAGGGGTTGGGGTAGAAGGGGTGGTGGTGATGGTTGTACAAGGATGTGAATGTACTTCATGTCACTGAACTTTACACTTAAAAATGGTTAACATGGTAAATTTTATTCGTATTTTTCTGTAACAAAAATCTGATACTTTCATGTAGATGTTTGAGATTGCAGTAATTTTATAAAGAGTACCCTTGGGTTACTTAAAGTTTCTCTTTTCATATCAGGTTTTTAAGATGCTTGATGGTGTCCCTCTCTAAAGTTGATTAGATGAATTTTTTGCATTTAAAATGACAAATGAGTAGGAGAGAACAGTATTTTAACACATTGTAGTATTCCTATCCCTCTAGAAAATGCTTTATCCTACATAGGAAGTCGCAAAGAAAAAAGCTCAATTAAACCTTTTTAAATTGTATTTCTAATAATTTCATTAAAAAGCATTGTATTAGGAAAAGACTCTCCACACAACTGGTAAGAGTTTATAGTACACTTTGATTTGTCTCACTTCAAGTATGTGTTCAAAACAGAATGGTATATCAAAACAACAGGGTCAACCCCATTTTTGCCTTATTTTCTGATATGGAAGAAGACAAAATGAGAAAAATACAGTCTTACTATATATGTAGCATGATTTCTCTCCCTAGGAAGAATCTTGTGGAATGGTGGGAAAATGGAGAGCACAGACAGGAGAGTCAGTTTGGCCAATCATTGCTAATATAGTTGATCTTATTACTACCTTAATTAGTTTAAGCTGTAACTTTTTATTGTGGCAGGCAGATACTGAACTTGAAAAGACAGAAGAAAACTTATTAAAAAAACTGCAAAAGGCTAGTCTTGCAATGAAAGGTTAGACTGTCATAAATTAGTAGTCAGTGCATAAATAAATAACTCTTAATACTCAATAAATAACTCCTTGATACCAATCTTAGTAATTATTTGGTTAAAGGGGGGGGACTATTTATTGTTAATTACCTGCTAGACCAATTGTTATGCTCTTGATCTAGAAATAGTTATATATGAAGATTCTCCCCTCCTCAAACTCATGAGAAGGGACGATAAAGACTTAATCCTTTTCCTGTTTCTGCAGGAAAACAGATACCTTTTTATTTCAGATGGACTGCTTGGGATGTAGGAAAATCCCCAGAGAAAAATTGAGACATTTTTCTGAGTCAGTTCTATGAGGATTTTGATAAAATACAAGAAATAAAAAATTAATATTATGCAAGTAATTCTGTTTATTAAAGAAAAGTAGAAAAAAATGATAAAACATGAAAGACAATGTCACTCAGAAAACAATGTATAAAGTGGTTTTCTCTAATTACATTTAGATATTTTTCCAATTTTTTTTTCCAAATTTTTGTAGAAAAACCTTACAAGAAATACCACACAAACCATTTAGCCTACTTAATATGTACTATAACATCAATATCTTTTAAAAGCAATTAATAAAATATTATTTTAATTGGATACAGCCATTAAAGTTAATCTTTTATTATTGGGCATGTGATTTATCATTATAAACAACTCGTAAGTGAACATTTTGAGGATTCACAATTCTTTTGGTAACTTTAAAACTGATATGATGTGATGATAATGAATTTCAAATATAACATGAGCAGATCACATCTAATATACTACACTAGAGGAAAGTTGAATAGAAAGACATTGCATAAATGTTGATGGGTGACAAACCTTAAGAAATTCCCAGTAAATGAAAATGAACTATTTTTAAATTTTATAACAAGTCTAGACTCAGTTTAAAATAATTAATCTTTCAAAGTTATTCAATGAAGAATTTTATGGAAAACAACACAGTAATAGTTATCCACATAGTTGAATTTTAAGCTAATTAGTTTGGTGCTGGTAGCTAAGAACAGCAGGTAACCATTTCTTTTTTGCCTTGAGGTTTGTGATATCTTTTTTCTTTAAGTCTAATTTGAATTCTTGGGTGCTAGAAGAGAGGTCAGAAAAACTAAGGTAGGAATGTATTTTGGCACAGAAATAATTCCTTCCAGGTAATCAGAAATTTGTTATCTTAATCTTCCTTTAGTGCTGAAAACATTATCAGAGCCCAATATTTAAAACTACTGTCTTATAACTTAATTCTATGTCTAAGTGTATATTTTAAACAGGTATCTGTATAATAACAAAGCAGGTTAATATTACTGCCGGAAAATACAGATAATGTAAAATGATTATGGCTGGGAAAAGTATAGTTTTATCACCAAAAAAAAAAAAACCCACAAAATATAATAGCCCAAATGTATTAAAACTTCAGAAACGTTTTGAACGGAGAGCATATAAGTGCACAACCACTGTTTACAGAATGTAACCCTGTAACGGAAAATAAAGTCACTCAGATTTTTTAAAAAGTTTTAGTTGTAAAATATATTTATATTCAATTCAATTCTTTTTTTTTTTTTTTTTTTAAAGATTTATTTATTGATTGATTGATTGATACATACAAGCACTGGGTACAGTTAGAAGCGCGGGAGGAGAGAGAATTCACCAGAGCCAGAGCGGGGAGCAGAGCAGGCAGAAGGACCGAAGCACACTGCTGAGGGGAGCAGCGGGCGGCAGGAGAGGTCTGCGCGCCATGTGGGACCCTCCTCCCGAGGCCGGGAGCAGCCGGGGAATGAACCGGCGCTGCAGAGACTGCCGGCAGCTTCCCAACCCAGCGCTCAACCGCTGCGCCACCGGGAGGCCCTCAATTCAATTCTTAAGTTTCTAATTATTAGGAAAACATCGAGTTAAATTCTTCTGGTTAATAGTGTCTACATTGTCCTTCCTCAGAATGTATTATTGCCTGAATGCTTCTACTCCTTTTTTGATCTTCGAAAAGAATTCAAGAAGTGTTGTCCTGGTTCACCTGATATTGATAAACTGGATGTTGCAGCAATGACAGAGTGTATCCTTTAAGTGGTTACCCAGGAATTATTTGAAAAGATGGTACCAGAAAAAAAATGTAATTCAAGAGAGTCTACAACTTTTTTTTTTAAGATTTTATTTTTGCATAAAAGAACTGGGGTGCAGGTCAGAGGTGCGGGGGGAGAGGGAGATGGTGAGAGAATTCACAGACAGAGTAGGGAACAGAACAGGGAGATATATTAAATACACTGCTAAGGAGAGCAGTGGGCAAGACAGGAAAGGTCTGCTGCAGCATGCGGGTTAATTCCCTGGCTGGGGCTCGAACTCAGATTGCAACTACAAGCAGTGATAGCTGACAGTGTTGAGACTTAACCCCTATGCCACAAGGGAGGCCTGAGAGTCTAAAACATCTTTAAAATTGTTAGCATATGGATAAAATTGACCTCTCCGATATTTTTCTAATCTAAGAATAACTAATAATACAATTATATAGGCATCATTCAAAGTAGTTATAACTTGTTGCATTTGAACAGTGATTTAGTCAGATGGCTTTAAAGAAGGATTTCTATAAGTTGAACAATAGAATTTGTTTTAGATTATAGAAGGGTGTATGTGTGAGATTAATTGAAGAATGTGAAGGCTACTCACCTTGATGCCAATTCCAAGGCAACTTATTTTTCTTACCTTGGTTTTTGGCTTCTTTTCAATGGATAAGAATTTTTTAAATAGTAGGTATATGCTTTTTACAAAATGCTATTCATTGATACCCCTTTTAACCTTCCCTGGGTTTCTCAAATACATATAAGATCATGGTAATATAACAAGCCATATTCTCAGTTGATAAAATGTGGTTGAGATGTTACCCTAATTTCTTTCATTACCAAGATAGTATATTTGATGTGCTATGTGTAGTAAATTTTATAATCATACATCTTGTAGTCATGAGTGACCCCATTATCTTTCATCCAATAAGCCTTTAAAGTGCTAATAGGCAGTTGTGTGCTAACATATCAGATGTGAAATTGAGTAATAGAAGAAAGAGTTGAGCGACTGTTCCAAAACCAATTGTAGGAATCATGAAGTCATTTATTTTCAGGAACTTTGGGGTTATAAATACTTGTACTTTCTCATTCTTTTTCAGGAGCTAAAACCTGATTTTGTTTTATTTCAAAACATTTTTTTTTAAAGATTTATTTATTTATGCATACAAGAACTGGGGTACAGGCCAGAGGTGGGGGGTGTGAGAGGATTCACCAGAGACAGAATGGGGAACAGAACAGGCAGATTGACGAAATACACTGCTGAGGGGAGTGTATTATTACATTATCAGACATTGTTATTTTTTCTTACAATGCTGAGGGGAGCAGCGGGCGTGGCAGGAGAGGTCTGCACGCCATGTGGGACCCTCGCCGGTGGCCGGGGATCGAACCGGTGCTGCAGAGGCTGCAGCAGCTTTGCAGCCCAGCGCTCAACCGCTGCGCCACCGGGGAGGCCCTATTTCAAAACTTCTTAATTGAAAAATGTTGTTTACACAATGTTCGTAGCTACTATAAGCAGGTCAAACCCATTTTATTTGCCTTCTTTGTAGAAGCCATTACCTGAAATTTTGTTTTAGCTGGTTTAGCTACCAGTTAGTTATTGGTTTAGTTCCTGGTAGTGATGGTATGAGGGCAGAATAAGCTCATGTTAAGCAAGCGAGACTGGAGAGGTCTGCTGTTATCTCCCTGGCTGGGAATGGAGCTCATGCCACAGTGGCTGGAGATAGCTTGATAGTGCTGAGACTTAACCTCTGTGCCACCAGGGAGGCCCATTAAGGGAATTCTTTAAGAATTTTATTAAAGACTGGAACAACAGAAAATTTCTTTCTTTGTTGATTTGAATGCTTTTTTTTTTTATAAAGATTTATTTATATATGCATACAAGAAGGGGGTATAGGCCAGAGGTGTGGATGGTGAGAGGATTCACCAGAGACAGAGTGGGGAACAGAACAGGCAGATTGACTGAAATACACTGTTGAGGGGAGTGGCAGGTGAGACAGGAGAGGTCTGCTGCGCCATGTGGGTTGCTCCCTGGCCAGCCAGGGGATCGAACTCATGCTGCAGTGGCTGCAGATAGCTTCATAGGTTGTGTCTTAACCCCTTGCGCCACCAGGGAGGAAGGTTTGAATGCTTTTTTTAGCTTGCTTAGTCTGCAGTAACAAATATGACAAACTGGGTGGCTTATACAACAGAAGTATAATTGTCTCAAAGTCTTAGAGCCTGGGAAGGCCAAGGTGTGGGTGGCAGAATGGTTCTATACTAGTGAGGAGTCTTGGTGGCATACAGATGGCAAGCTCCTCCAGGTGTCTCATGGAAGGATAAGAAGGACAGGAAAGAGACAGAGTGGGGAGCAGAACTGGCAGATCTACTGAAATAAACTGCTGAGGGGAGTGGTAAGAGAGAGAGGCAAGGTCTGCTGTGCCATGATCCCTGGCCAGATATGGAACTCATGTCACAGTGGCTGGCAATAGCTTTATAGCACTGAGACTTTAACCCCTGTGCCGCCAGGGCGGCCTCCTATTCTGTCATTTAATTTCAGTTTTATAGTTACTTGTTGACAGTCCTTCCAAGAGCCATGGAGATGAAAATCAGAAATATTTGACTACAGAAAATGGATGAATTGTGAATAAAGCTAAGTTGAGTTCCATTTCATGCTATCAAACCTGAAATTTGAGGAATGATGTCATGGCCATTCAGTAATACATTCATTGACAAATTTTGGAATTTTATATTTCTTTAAAAATCATTGTACTCTAATTTCTTTGGGCTTATATTGGGATCTTAAAGTTATTGTTTTAAAAAAGTAGGTTTTATTCTTAAATATTTTAATATTATTTTCATACTGTTATTCACAGGACTGATTGTTTCCGTGACTAAGCCACTAAACCAATTCCTGTGGTCAAAAGCAATCATACTAAAACTGACTATCAAATTTTCTTTATCTATGCAAAGGTTTTCTACAGTGTCTAAAGAGTTGTGCTGTGATTTCCCACAACTAAACATTTTCTAACATAGGAATGACACTGAATTTGGAAACATAAAGATGGTCATTACACATCCTTGATGGTTTTGCCATTTGCTCTTGAGGGGGTTACCTATACCACCAGGTAAACCAGTGCGGGAGGAAGAGAAGTTTTTGCCAACACTTGGAAGGAACAAGTAAGAGAATATGCAGCATTGCTTTCCTGGAAAAGTTACTTGCCTTCTCCAACTCTCACTTTTATCTCAGGTATTCCCAAATGAAAGCTTTGTAAACTATCAGGTGCTATGTAAAATTAAAAAGTATAACACATTGTTAAAATAAAGAGTTTAGGAATTTCTTGAATACAGTTCTGGTTGTACTTCAGCACTTCTCTCTTTTGTCTTTGTGCTCTAAAACCATTTCTGGTGGTGTTCAGCCTTTCCAAGCTATTGCAGTTTTGCTAGCTGGTAAGGAATCCCAACTGGAGGAAAGATCTTGTTTAGCAGGTGAACTGTGGGTGGCATTTTGTAAGCATTTTTACTTAATCAGGTGAGGTGGTGAGGATATAAAGATTAGAGCCCCTGTGATTTTTTTTTTTTAAAAGATTTATTTATTTATTCATACAAGCACTGGGTACAGTCAAAAGCGCGGGAGGGTGAGTGAATTCACCAGTGCCAGAGGGGAGAGTAGAGCAGGCGGATTGATGAGGTACACTGCTGAGGGGAGCAGCCGGCAGCAGGAGAGGTCTGCGTGCCATGTGGGACCCTCCCCAGGTGGCCGGGAATCGAACCAGCGCCGCAGAGGCTGCGGGCAGCCTCTCAACCTAGCGCTCAACCACTGCGCCACTGGGGAGGTGCTCCTGTGATTTTTTTTTTTAAAGAAATTATCTTGGCACTTTAGAGAAATTTAATAGTTAAGACTAGTTGTCTCCTGCTGAAGGACATTTTGACTATGGGACTGTTTAAATGACTCCCTTTATCCATTTTCAGAAGGAGCAACCACTGTATCCTCCAATGTTGGGTGGAGTTAATTCCTCCTAATTTTTTTTAAAGATTTATTTATTATGCATACAACAACTGGGGTGTAAGCCAGAGCTGTAGAGGTTGAGGGGATTCACCAGAGACAAAGTAGGGAGCAGAACAGGCAGATCTACTGAAGTACACTGCTGAGGGGAGTAGCAGGCCAAACAAGAGGGGTCTGCTGCACCATGTGGGTTAGCTCCCTGGCCAGGGATTGAACTCATGCTGCAGTGGCTCTTGACAGTTTTATAGTACTGAGACTTAATGCCTGCATCACCAGGGAGGCCCCTCATGAACTCATTCTCATAAGTCAAGACTTCTACCATTATATTTGCTTTGTGAAATCTTTGGTAAGAACTTATTTTTAATAAAGTATGGCCTTGTAAAGAGACCAGATGAAAGGGTAGCTACCAATTGTGTACTTCGTATCTGTGCTACTCATAACCTTACAACAACCCAGTGGGGGGGTGTCACTCTAATTTAATAGCTGTGAAAATTGGGGCTTAGTGTATTTAAGTTTGTTAGCTGCTCCAGCATTTGAACTTGAGTCTATCTGACTCAGATAACATTCTAGTTTTATAAAGATCATCTAAGGTTGGCTATTTAAATAGATTCTGTCGCTTTATAACTTCATGTTCTATATTTCCTGAGTGCACATGACTAAACTTTCAGCAGGAAAGGAATGTTAATTTGGTAATATGTCCATCCATTTGCAGGGTGTTGAATCTGTTTGATGTTATTAATTTAGGCCATCAATGCAGATTTCCATTAATAGGATAAAAAGATCACTAAGCACTATTGCTTGCCCATCTAAGGGTAAGCAGGGTGGTTGCATATATGTGTGCATGTGCATGAGCACTGTGAACAGTATGATGTTGGCCTCTGTTTTTCCCATATATTAAAGATGGAGGTGATAGCCGTAACAGTGGTTAAGAGCAAAAGCTCTGGGGACGGATTTATTGGGGCTGAATTTATCACACCTCTCTGCCTTAGTTTTCCCATCTTAAAATTGCCTTGCCTA